TTAGGGTTAGGACTAGAATTTCAGGTGACTTTTTTTTTTTCTTGCTGTATTTTATCATTTTTATGCTATAGAAAGGTCTAATAGCATAAGACCCAGAGGAAAGCGAGCCTTTCTATCAGAGCTGTGCTTCTTAAACAGACTCTCAGGAGGATTCTGTTTCTGATGGGTCAAGAAGAGGAGTTAGGGCCAGCAGCAGTGAGATGGTGTGCAGGGTCTGTGTTCCCCTCTCTACTTATCCCCCACTTCCCATCAGGACCTGTGGGCTTGGGTATTCTCTGCTGGATCCTCCTGACATTTTAATTTCCCAAGAGCTCATTTATGAAAGAGGGGAGGAAGAAGAGGAGAAAGTGGTACGAGTTCAGGACCTAGATTTCTTTACCTCAGAGTAAAAGAAACCATAGAGTTCCTTTCTCAAAAGACGTCAATCATCAAGACTCTTCCATAAATAGTTACTGAATTCTTATCATGCTCTGTTGCACTAGGTATCAGAGATGAAGACACCCTTCCTGTCTATGAAAAGTAAACATAAGGGCTGGGCGCTGCAGCTCATGCCTGTAATCCCAGCATTTTGTGAGGCCAAGGCAAGCAGATTGCTTGAGCCCAGAAGTTCGAGACCAGGGTAACCTGGTGAAACCCCATCTCTACAAAAAATATGAAAAAAATTAGCCAGGCATGGTGTTGTATTCCCAGCTACTCGAGAGGCTGAATCACAAGCTCAGGAGGCAGATGCTACAGTGAGCCAAGACTGCCATTGCACTCCAGCCTGGGTGATAGAGTAAGATCCTGTCTCAAAAAAAAAAAAAAAAAAAAAAAAAGCAAGAATTAAAAAGAGAAAAGAATGAACTTTCTCAAAAGTAAACATTAAATTACAATACAATGAAACAAATGGTGTAATATGGATGTCATAGAACTTTTCCTGTCACCCCAGGAATGGTTGCTGGCACTCAAAACTAAGAATAAAGAATTGTTAAATACCCTACACGCTAAAGAAAGCAGAAAACAATTAAAGGTCAAACACTTTTTCCATCACCCCAGCCCCCTAGCACTTGCCCAATTTATATATGCTGTCCCTCTCCCACTGCCTCCCTGCACAGGGGCCAGACAGCAGCAGGGCAGACAAAGACTAGGTGGTAAGGAGTGACCTGCTCTCTCACCTCCCATGTGGCAAGGATGTGTGAGCCAGCTGTCATTCTCTTCCTACTTGATTTCCCTTCAAAGGTCTTCCTTATAGCTTAAAAATTAATCACCAGCCTTTCCGACAATCCTTTTTTTTTTTTTTTTTTTGAGACAGTGTCTCATTCTGTCACCCAGGCTGGAGTACAGTGGCGAAATCTCACCTCACTGCAGCCTGGACCTCCAGGGTTCAAGTGATCCTCCCCTCTCAGGCGAAATACTTGAGACCACAGGTGCTCATCACCATGCCCAGCTAATTTTTGTGTTTTTTATAGAGGCAGGGTCTCCCCATGTTGGCTAGGCTGGTCTCAAACTCCTAGGCTCAAGCCATCCACCCAGCTAGGCCTCCCAAAGTGCTGGGATTACAGGCTTAAACCACCATGCCTGGCCTGAGAATCCTTTAATCACTGATCTAGCTTTAAGATAATCTGAGATACCCTGGAGCTTTGTGGTCACTAGCCACAGATGGCTACTGAGCACTTGAAATGTGGCTAGTCTGAATTGAAATGTGCTAACTGAAAAATATACCCTGGATTCTGAAGACAGTACAGGAGAAAAAATAGAAAATATCTCATTAGTATTTTATCGATCACATGTTGAATAATAATATTTTGAATATATTGTTTGAATAAATGTCATTAAATTAACTTCACCTGTTTTACTTTTTTTTTTGAGAGAGTCTCACTCTGTTGCAGTGGCTCAACAAACCGCAAGCTCTACCTCCCAGGCTCGAGCAATCCTCCCCCCTCAGGCTCCCGAGTGGCTGGGACTACAGGTATGTGCCACCATGCCTGGCTAATTTTTGTATTTTTATTACAGATGGGGTTTCGACATGTTGGCCAGGCCGGTCTCAAGTGATCCACCCACCTCGGCCTCCCAAATCCTCCCTAGGATTACATGTGTAACCCACCGGACCCAGTCCTGTTTTACTTTTTAAAATGTGGCTGCTAGACTACATTGCCCAGGCCGCACTTGAACTCCTGGGCTCAAGGGATCCTCCTGCCTCAGCCTCCTGAGTAGCTGGGATTACAGGCACATGCCACTGCACCAGGCAATACTTATATTTTCTAATACTGTCTTCTAAGTTTTAAACTGCTTTTTCTAAAACTTATATAGCCTATATTGTATTACCCCTAACTTAACATGAATAATTTCTCTGAGCAGTAGTCCAAGACCCCTGAATGACAACATTCAAACTAGAATTTTGGCCGGGCAAAGTGGCTCATGCCTATAATCCCAGCACTTTAGGAGGCTGAGGTGGGAGGATCACTTGAGGTCATGAGTTCAAGACCAGCCTGGCCAACATGGTGAAATGCCATCTCTACTAAAACTACAAAAAATTAGCGGACTGTGGTGGTGCGTGCCTGTAATCCCAGCTACTTCGGGAGGCTGGGGCAGGAGAATCACTTGAACTGGGAGGCAGAGGTTGCTGTGAGCTGAGATCACGACACTGTACTCCAGCCTGGGCGATAGAGCAAAACTCCCTCTCAAAAAAAAAAATAAAGAAATAAACAATCTGGAATTTTAAGGAAGTTGCAGGCTTCACTATGACAGCTGTAGAATAGAAAGAAATTCTGAATGCCAGTCCAGGGTAACTTTGGAGCTGGGCCCCAGATGGGAAGGTAGATTGTGAGTAAATGTTGGAGGTGAGAGATGGTAGAAACAGTCCAAGGAATCACCCACAGAGAGGGCGAGGATTACCAATTTGAATGTAAATTAGCACCACTTTTTCAGGAGGCAATTTGTAAGTATGTATCAAAAGTCTTAAAAAAGACCATGTCCAAGACCAGCCTGACCAAGATAGTGAAACCGCGTCCCTACTAAAAATACAAAAATTAGCCAGGTGTGGTGGCGCATGCCTGTAATCCCAGCTGCTTGGGAGGCTGAGACAGAGAATTGCTTGAACCTGGGAGGTGGAGGTTGCAGTGAGTCAAGATCGCGCCACTGCACTCCAGCCTGGGCGACCAAGTGAAACTCCATCTCAAAAAAAAAGACCATGTCCTTTGACCCGGTCATTCCATTTCTAGTAACTTATAAGGACATCTTAAAAGTACACAAATAGTTAGCTATGAGGATATTCAACCAACACTGTAATAGCTAAAACAAACAAAAGCAAAAAAAAGAGAAACGTCCAAGCCAGGTGCATTGGCTCATGCCTGTGATCCCAGCACTTTGGGAGGTTCAGGTGGGTGGATCACCTGAGGTCAGAAGTTCGAAACCAGCCTGGCCAACATAGTGAACACTGTCTCTACTAAAAATACAAAAGTTAGCCGAGCATGGTGGCAGGCACCTATAATCCCAGCTACTTGGGAGGCTGAGGCAGGAGGATCACTTGAACCTGGGAGGCAGAGGTTGCAGTGAGCTGAGAGCACACCATTGCACTCCAGCCTGGACAACAAGAGTGAAACTCTGTCTCAAAAAAAAAAAAAATGTCCAAGTACAGTGGCTCACCTGCAATCTCAGCCCTTTGGGAGGCCAAGGCGGGAGGGTCAGGGCTACACAGAGACCCCATCTGCACAATTTTTTTTTTTAAATTATCTAGGTGTAGTGGTGTGTGCCCGTAGTCCTAGATTCTTGGGAGGCGAGGCTGAGGTGGGATGAGTCCTTGAACCTAGAAGGTTGAGGCTGCACTAATCCATGACAGCATCGCTGCACTAAGCCATGATAACGCCACTGCACTCCAGCCTTAATCCACAATTAGGATACAGCTATAAATGGAATATTCTGCAACTATTACGAAGGACGTAAGTGAAAACTTGACATGGAAAGACATTTATTCTAAACTCTGTGAAGAAGGCCAGATACAGAATTGTACCTCCAATATATATGTCAATTTTGCTTACAAAAGAAAAAAAAAACATGGATATGGTGAGTCAGCCTGTAATCACATTTTGGGAAGCTGCAGTGGGAGGATCTTTTGAGGCAAGGAGTTTGAGACCAGCCTGGATAACACAGCAAGACCCCCATCTCTACAAAAAAATGTAAAAATTAGCCAGCCATGGTGGCTCAAGGCTGTGGCCCTAGCCAGTCAAGAGGCTAAGAGGGGAGGATAGCTTGAACTCTGGACGTCAGGGTTGCAATGAGCTATAATCATGCCAGTGCACTCTGGCCTGTGTGACAGAGCAAGATCCTGTCCCCAAAAAAGTTATTTTAAAAAGGCAAACAAAAAAACATTAAAAGTGTCCATTTGCAAAGACCACTATCTGAAAGGATACTCTCAAAGGGATTAAAAGTCATCTTTGGACAGTGGGACCATAAGTGTTTTCTATTTTTATCACTTTTATAATTAATTATTTTTGTCTTTTTGTTTTTTTCCTTTTTGTGGAGAACGGGGTCTCGCTATATTGCCCAGGCAGATCTCGAACTCCTGGGCTCAAGCTAGCCTCCCGCCTCTGCCTCCCTAAGAGTTGGGATTACAGGCGTGAGCCACAGCGCCCGGCCTATAATTAATTTTTTAAAGTAATTTTTAAGTAGTCCTACCTAGTCTTCCTTACAAGTTAGGACTCAGATGCCACTCTCTTTCCCTAAACTGACCTGAGTCCCCTCACCATAATAAGCACCAGTGTCTTCGCTAAAATCCCAACACTTTGCCAACACAGCTGGGGGTTGAACCTCGCTCCCTCTAGTCCTTTAGTCCTCTGAGTCTTTCCCCCTACAAGCCTATGGACCCGCTCCCAGAGGTCCCCTTCGTACCTGCCCCACAGGCTAGATCAGGCCCTGTCTGACCCCTGGGTTACTGTAAAACAGAACGTCTGGCCCCTAGGTCTCAGAGTCGGTTGAATCAGAGTCCAGAGGTTAAAAAACACTGACACAAAATGCCAGGCCAGGAACTGAGGCACTGAAGCTCGGCTACAGACCTCGCTCCTGAGAGGGAAATCATTCCGCTGGGGAGCCACGCGCGGGTCACCGACTGTCACCTTCGCCAGGCTCTGTGCGGCGGAAGCGCAGTGATGTTTTCCAGTAAAAAACGCGGACGTTGCGCCGTGATCAATTTTGTCCCTTTGGAGGCGCCGTTCCGGTCCACGCCCCGCTCGCGTCAAGTGACTGAGGCCTGTGGTGGAGTCGGACGCGGCGTGCCGCTGGGTTCTGGGCCGGGGTGGACGGTGGGTGGGATGGAGGCGACCTTGGAGCAGCACTTGGAAGACACGTGAGTAGTGCGCGCCTCTTCGGCCCGTCCTGAAGTCGCGGCGGAGGAACTTGAGCGGGACAAAAGGCGCGAGCTGCGAGTGCCTGCCAGGGCGTCTCGGGGACGTCGCGCTACCCCCAGGACAAGGGATGAGGGAGCTGAGCCCTACCCGAGGGCCGCAGGGCGGGACTGGTGACCCGGAATTAAAATTCTGCCGGGCACCGCACATCCCCTCTTGAGCGAGTCTCCTGGGCTCAGGCTACGGCCAAAACTGCTTATCTCGTTGTTGAAATCGTCTTTACGGTCAGGGTTGTTCTGCGGGAGGTTTAGGAAACGGGTTAACTTTGGGGAAGGTTGTGCCAGTTGTGCACAGTCAAGCCCTGCAGTGTAAACAAACATTTATCTCCTGTGTGTATCCTGTCAGTTACTTGGTACTTACGTAGATCAAAGTCATCCTTTAAATTTTTCGAACAAGCAGTATTTATGTAAAATTCGAAACTGGAAAAGTATAAAGGGTACAGAGACACCTGGCCTCCCAACGATGTCCCTCAGCTTCCATTTACCCTCCAGGAGGCGATTTAAGAGGTTTTCAACAGTTTTAAATGAGTTAGTACTAAAGCATGCATTTTTAACAAGAGTGAAAACATCCTAGATATTGCAGTGTTTGTGGCCCTCCAAAACTCAACAGTACTTAGCAGTTTTTTCTCTCATGAGAGAGAAACTGGTTTATTTAAATTAATTAATTAGAATAATTTTTTTCTTAGAGTGTGATAATGAAAAAAGATTGAGAAACATTGATTTAAAGCACTTAATGTCTGGTACATAGAGCACGTGTATGCTCAAATCCTTTTTCTCCCATTATCTGCTTCAACTCTCTGTGTTCCTGAAATTAGAATGAAGAATCCCTCCATTGTTGGAGTCCTGTGCACAGATTCACAAGGACTTAATCTGGGTTGTAAGTATCTCTCATGCCGTGTGATGAATTCCGTAGCATCTGCTGTTGACTTGGAGCCTAGCGTGGTTTTGTTTTCTAGCTTTTATGTTCTGTTACCTTGCCGGTTCTTTCTGAGTTTCTGAGAGTAGAGATTATCTCCAAATAACAGTATCAGAAAATTGAAAGTTTCAGTTGGTATTTATGAAGGAGGATGTTCCCTGCTGTTCTATAGCACTAAGTAGTTGTCTTTACTAAAAATGGTATTTGAATCATGTTAAATGAAGTCTAGAAAGGACTTGAGAGAATGACAGCTGTTAACCATTTATTGAATGTATGCCATATGCTGAGACTGCTAGGTTCTAAATACACTGCCTTTAATTTTCACAGCAACCCCGCAGAGTGGATGGTGTCCTATTTTTAAGCTCAACTACACTAAACAAGAAGTGAATAGGCAGTAAAATGGGGTTTCAGTGTTGGACATACCTGGGCTCAGTCCCTTACTTTTTGATTTGCTGGCAGTATGAACGTGGACCAAAAACTACCTTTTAGGGCTTCATTTTCTTCACTAGGTTGTTATTTAATAATGGTAATCATTAGAATTACATTTATTGAGCTTTTGTTATATACCAAGCACCATTGGAAGTCCTTTACATATACTAACTCTTTTATTCCTTAAAACAACCCTGTGAGGTAGAAAAAGAAGTGGAGGGGCCAGGCGCAGTGGCTCACATCTGTAATCCCAGCAGTTTGGGAGGCCAAGGCAGGCAGATCACTGAGCCCAGGAGTTCAAGACCAGCCTGTGCAACACAGTGAAACCACCCCCCATCTCTATTTTATATATATGTTTTTAAAATTTTTAAAGGCCAGATGCTGTGGCTCATACCTGTAATCCCAGCACTTTGGGAGGTCGGGAGGCCATGGTGGGCAGATCACTTGAGCCCAGGAGTTCAAGACCAGCCTGTGCAACACAGTGAGACCTCCCCCATCTCTATTTTATTGTTTTTTAAATTTAAAAAGGCCAGATGCCATGGCTCATACCTGTAATCCCAGCACTTTTGGGAGGTGGGGGTGGGGACAAGTGGATCACCTGAAGTCAGGAGTTCCAGGCTAGCCTGGCCAACATGGTGAAAACCCATCTCTACTAAAAATACAAAAAAAAAATTAGGCTCGTTGTGGCAGGTGCCAGTAATCCCAGCTACTCAGGAGACTGAGGCAGGAGAATCGCTTGAACCTGGGAGGCAGAGGTTGCAGTGAGCCAAGATCGTGCTGTTGTACTCCAGACTGGCAACAAGAGCAAGACTCTGTCTCAAAAAAAAAAAAATTAAAAAGAGAAACTTAGACACGGAGGTTAAATAAGTGGGTAAGCTAGGGTTTTTGGCCCTGAGGCCTCTTACTCGTGATTTTTTTTTTTTTTTACAGAGATGGAGTCTTGCTCTGTTGCCCAGGCTGGAGTGCAGTGACACAGTCTCGGCTCACTGCAACCTCCACTTCCCAGGTTCAAGCTATTCTCCTGCCTCAGCCTCCTGAGTATCTGGAATTATAGGGGCCCACCACCATGCCTGACTAATTTTTGTATTTTTAGTAGAGATGGGGTTTCACCATGTTGGCCAGGCTGGTCTTGAACTCCTGACATCAAGTGATCCACCCACCTCAACCTCCCAAAGTTCTGGGATTACAGGCATGAGCCACTGTGCCCAGCCTAATAATGATATTTTAAGGTTATATAATATGTATAAAATGCTTAGCACAGAACTGAGACATAATGCTTAATAAATGGTAGTAGTTACAGATGAGGAAATAAGCCTGGAAAGGTAAAACTAAAGCATTCAGTTAATTAGTGACAGAACTAGTAAACCCAAGACTTGCTGCTCCTAATGCAGGAATTTTTGAAGCTCTGAATTTTTGCTGGCAGGGTAACTGAAAGAAGTAATCTGTGTTTAACATACAGATAACTCATTTGGGAGAAAAAGCGTAAATTTTTGGAAGCGTTTGCCAGGCTCACTAATGGAAAGATTGAAATTCAGGTATAGAAACCTAAAACTAAATGAGTTCCTTCAAGAAACCTTCAAGGCCCAAATGCCGGCATCAGATCTGGTCAGAATGTTTTGTATAGTAATAGTACATCCATATGCTCTGCTGCCATAGTGGCATGTCTGTTACCTGATTTGGTTTCAGGTACATTTAAGCTTGTGTTGCCTTTATATACAGAAATATAGAGTACACTTAGTAACTAATTTTTGTACCTAGAATTTATAGGTATTTTTGTACCCAAGATTTAGTTACTATAATATATATAGACTAATACAAACATTAATAAAAAGACAATTCTGTCGACATTTTAAAACAGCCAGCTAGCTTATTCTAGCAGAAATACTCTATGAGCAATCAGGTGACATACATCATCCCTGTTTTCTAGGCCGTGGGACCCTGTCAGATGAGCATGCTGGAGTGATATCTGTCCTAGCCCAGCAAGCAGCTAAGCTAACCTCTGACCCCACTGATATTCCTGTGGTGTGCCTAGAATCAGATAATGGGTGAGTAGATTTCAGCAGATCCTTTACTTTTGGTTCAGAAAAATTCCTGGTAAAATTGGCAGCGGCCAGCCCTGTGTTCATCAGTGATTCCTTATTCAAACTACTTTGGGAAAAGTTCTTAATCTTTTGGACCACAGGAAAGGATAAGTTGATCCCTAAAGCTAACATGCTTTCAGGCCACAGTGCCATTTAAATGAGGAATAAGTCACAAACTATTAGTTTAACAACAACAACAAAAAGTAATAAGTAGCACAAAGGAAAACTAATCAGAGAATAAAAATTACTTTTTTTTTTTTAATCCTGAGGCAGGGTGTTACTCTGTCACCCAAGCTGGATTGGAGTACAGTGGTGTAATCATGGGTTACTGTGACCTCAGCTCCCAGGGTCAAGCGATTTACCCAACTCAGCCTCCCAAGTAGCTGAAACTACAGGCATGCACTGCCACATCCAGCTAACTTTTATATTTTTTGTAGAGATTAGGTTTCACCATGTTGCCCAGGCTGGTCTCAAACTCCCGGGCTTCGGTGATTTGCCTGCCTCAGCCTCCCAAAGTGCTGGGATTACAGGAGTGAGTCACTGCGCCTGGCCAAAAATTACTTGTAAATTAATAAAATTACTAAAGATATTCCAAGTGATGGTCCTCAGAATAATATGTGAAAAAAAATAAAAATATACAACTGCTAGTATCACCATTGTGTAAAAAGAAAAAATAGACAGTCATGCATTGCTTAACAACGTGGATACATTCTGAGAAATATGTCAGGCAATTTTGTTGTATGAACATCACAGAGTGTACTTAAACAAACCTAGGTGGCATACCCTGTTACACACCTAGGCTCCATTATTCTTAGGCTACAAAATTTGTGATCTAAATAATGTAGGTAGTTATAACACAGTGGTATTTGTGTGTCTAAACAGAGAAAAGTTACAGTAAAAATATTTCTTTTAAATTTCTTTTAGAGAAATTTTTTAAAAGGTATACCTCAGTAGGGCACTTACCATGAATGGAGCTTGCAAGACGGGAAGCTGCTCTGAGTGAGTCAGTGAAACTTTTTGACCCTTATTATAACACCTAAAATTGTACAGCTGTATAAAAATTATTCTTTAAATTTCTTTTTTTTAAGACTTTTTTGTGGAAAACCAAGACAGAAACACACATTAGCCTAGGCCTGCACAGGGTCAGGATCATCTGTGTCACTGTCTTCTACCCCACATCTTCTCCACTGGAAGTTCTTTCGGGCAGTAATATGCATGGAGTTGTCATCTCCTATCATGATGACGCCTTCTGGAATACCTCCCCAAGGACCTATCTGAGACTGTTTTACACTTAACCTTTTTAATAAGTATCCTCTAAAATAATGATAAAAAGTATAGTATAGTAAATACATAACCAAAACATAGTCATTTATTATCAATATCAAGTGTTAGGCACTGTACATCATTGCATGTGCCATACTTTTTATGACTGGCAGCGCTGTGTGTTCACACCAGCATTACCACAGACGTAAGTAATGTGCTGTGCTGTGTGACACTACAATGGCTAAAAGGTCACTAGGCAATAGGAATTTTTCAGTTCCATTTTAATCTGTGGGACCACCATCATATATAGGGTCCACTGTTGACTGAAACATTGTTACGCAGCACATGACTGTATCATATACATACAAATAAAACAAGGACCAGGAAAGCTTTTTTTTTTTTTTTTTTTGTAGTTCCAGCTACTGAGGTGGCTGAAGCAGGAGGACTGCTTGAGCCTAGGAGTTTGAGGCCAGCCTGGGAAACACCACAAGACATTGCCTAAAAAAAACAACCAGGGAAATACTAACAGTGGTTGTCTGTGTGTAGTAGGATTAAGGATTCATTTCATGTTTATATGTTTATGTATTTCCCAAATGTTTTGTAGTGTTTAAATATTGCTGTTATACATAGAAACAGTGTATCCTAAACCAAACAACATCTTTCATCTTACAGTGAAGTCCCACTTGTAATGTTTTACTGAATATTTTCTTCCTTGCATTTCAGGAACATTATGATCCAGAAACACGATGGCATCACAGTGGCAGTGCACAAAATGGCCTCTTGACATCTTATATCTGTTCTTCAGCAGCCTGTCATAAGAACTCGACCCTACCTATGTTAACTACTAAAGCTCCAGTAGTTAGGCCATTCATTTCATGTGCATTGGGCACTTTTCTATTTATTTAAGAGTAAATTGCTTTTTAACACTCTATGGACCGACTATCAAGATATCAGTAAGAAAGGATCATAACTTGAAACAGCAGGTCCAGGTCACTTTGTATATAGAATTTTGCTATATTCAATAAATCCGTTTGGAGAAAAACTGATCTTTTCTAGATTCTTTAACCTCTTAACCAAATGTTAAGAGGTTTTATATATATATATACATATATATAAATTGTATATATATGTAATTTTAAAAATATATATAAATTTTTAAAAAAGGTCTTTGTTCTAAACTACTTGCTTTTGTTTAAGAAGCTCCCTGAAATACCTATATTCCCACAGGCATGTCCACGGATCCCGCTGTGTGCAGTCAGAAATCCACATATAACTTTTGACTCCCCAATAGCCTACTGTTGACCGGAAGTTACACGTCAATTAACACTAATTTTCTATGTTTTATGTATTATTCTATATTCTTACAGTAAAGTAAGCTCAAGGAAAGAATATTAAAACTATACAGAAGAGAAAATATATTTAAGTAGAAGTGGATCATAGTAAAGGTTTTTATATTTGTCATCTTCTCATTGAGTAGGCTGAAAAGGAGGGTTTGTCTCACTGTCTCAGGGGTGGCAGAAGTGAAAGAAAATTCATGTGTAAGTAGACCCATGTTGTTTAAGGATCATTTAATTCTCATTAACAACCCTATACAGTAGGTACTCACAACTAAGGCTATGAAATTACCAGAGTCATCATTTGGACTCAGGACTCCAACTCAGAATCTGTACTCTTAACACCCAAGACCACATTGGCTAGAAAAAAAAAAGTTTACCATTTGAAATTATAGGTCTGGCTGGGTACAGTGGCTCATGCCTGTAATCCCAACACTTTGGGAGGTCAAGGCAGAAGCATGGCTTAAGCCAAGACCAGCCTGGGCAACAATGTGACCCCATCTCTTCAAAAAAAGGTCTTTTTAAATTAACCAGGCATGGTGGCATGGGCCTGTAGTCCCAGCTACTCGGGAGGCTGAGGCAGGAGGATCACTTGAGCCCAGGAGGTTGAGGCTGGTGATGTGCCACTGCACCCCAGCCTGGGTAACAAGAGCAAGCCACTGTATCAGAAAAAAAAGTATAAGTCAACATTATTTTCACCCCAGCCTTTTATAGTTCTCAACAACAGAACTGAGCACAAGCAGGCATAAAAGACCGATTTGTTGAACTTGAATGTAGTTCCTTTGCTCTAGCAATTTAACATTTGACAGCATAAAAATCTCCAGGATATTACTTATCCAAAAATAGTAAGCATCTACAAATATAAAGTGCTATGTGAGAACAGCAAAGATTTTTAGTAAGACAGCTCCAGCCCTTGAGCTTGTATGTTGGAAATGGGTTTATAATGTCGGGAAAAATCCACACAGACAATGGATCACTCGGCAAGGCTAGTTTAATTCCTGCAGAAAGGGGCCACCTCACCGGCAGTCTTGCCACGAGAGCACCTGAACAAGGGAGACATAACTTTCATAACCTGACGAAATTGCCCTACTGCTGTGTCCAGTTTCCATTGGCCAGAACAGGACCTCTCATTCTATGCTGGACCTGATTGGCTAAAAACTTGCAAATTTTCTCAATAGATGAGGGGGAAAGAAGACAAGGAAGAAGAGGAAGCTAGTCAGGAGAAGGTCAGGAGGGTTTCCAAATAAGAAATGGCATGCACCAGGGTTTGGAGCTTGCCCAGTTCAGACATGCTGGAGCAAGTCAAGGTAGCTGATGTAAGACACAGCTGATTTACAGAATATATATACACGGGTATATGTGTAGTTTATGCTAATAAGCAGATAATGGCCATAGAGCAAGAGACTCCTTATAATGTAGTCTAATATATAAACGTTAAAGAACTTTACCATCTCACGTTGCACTTTTCTTTTTTTGAGACAGTCTCGCTCTGTTGCCAGGCTGGAGTGCAGTGGGGCGATCTCGGCTCACCGCAACTTCCGCCTCCGCCTCCCAGGTTCAAACAATTCTCATGCCTCAGCCTCCCAAGTAGCTAGGACTACAGGCACATACCACCATGCCCAGCTGATTTTTGTATTTTTTTTTTTAAGGAGAGACAAGGTTTCACCATGGCCAGGATGGTCTCTATCTCTTGACCTTGGGATCCACCCACCTCACCCTCCCAAAGTGCTGGAATTACAGGCGTAGGCTACCACACCCAGCATGAGCTTGTACTTGAAGAGAAGGGATATATATGTATGGTCTTCGCCATACTTACTAATACCTGACATATAGTATACATGTTGTTTTATGTCTGACTTCCCCACCAGTGTAGATACTTTAAGGGCACAAGCTTTGTCTTTTTTTTTTTGAGACAGAGTCTCTGTCACCCAGGCTGGAGTGCGGAGGCATGATCTGGGCTCACTGCAACTTCCACCTCCTGAGTTCAAGCAATTCTTATGCCTCAGTCTCCCAAGTAGCTGGGTTTACAGGCGCACGCCACCACACCCTGCTAATTTTTGTATTTTTGGTAGAGATGGTCTTTCACCATGTTAGGCCAGGCTGGTCTCAAACTCTTGGCCTCAAGCGATTCACCTGCCTCGGCCTCCCCTGTGCTGGGATTCTAGGCCTGAGTCACCACACCCAGCCCCTTTGTCTTATTTACATATGTATCTTTAGCACCTAGAACAGTTCCTAGTACAGAGTAGGCACTGAATAATTTCTGAATAGATGAGTATATAACTAGTACAAGAGGTTTTCTTTATTTTTCTGTTTTTGAGACAGGGTCTTGCTCTGTCACCCAGTTTGGCGTGCAGTGATGCGATCTTGACTCACTGCAACCTCTACTTTACCAGGTGCAAGAGTAGCTGGGGCTACTACAGGCACACACCACCACGTCTGCCTAATTTTGTATTTTTAGTAGAGACGGGGTTTTGCCATGTTGCCCAGGCTGTCTTAAACTCCTGACCTCAAGCAATCCTCCTGCCTTGGCCTCGCAAAGGCAACCATGCCTGGCCCCACAGAAGAGTTTTGTTGTATGAACTGGGCCTTCGAAGACAGAATGAATGGATGCTTGCAGTAAAGGAATATGGGGTTTCCAGGAAGAGGAAATGGCAGTGGTAAAGATGGATAAACCAAAAGGAATATGTGATAGCAAATGCTTTAGTTTGTTTAGTCTGTGAGGTAGGAGGTGTAATAGCAAATTCCTTTGTTTAGTCTGAAAGATAGAGCAGCTAACTCAGGGAACCTGAATATCTGCTTTTTAAGAAACCTAGGCTTTTTCCTGTTAGCAGATTGGATTTTGGAGCAGGTGAGAGTAAAGGTGGAGCTTTAAGATTAATTTGTAGTGGCCAGGCACGGTGGCTCATGCCTGTAATCCCAGCACTTTGGGAGGCCAAGGTGGGTGCATCACTTGAGGTCAGGAGTTAAAGACCAGCCTGGTCAAGATGGTGAAACCCTGTCTCTATTAAAAATATAAAAATTAGCCAGGTGTGCTGGTGAGCACCTACAATCCCAGCTACCGTGGGAGGCTGAAGCAGGAAAATCACCTGAGCCCAAAAGGCAGAGGTTGTAGTGAGCCCAGATTGTACCACTGCACTCCAGCCTGGTCAAAAGAGACCCCATCTCAAAGAAAAAAATTAATTTGTAGAAACAGCTCATTTTTTTCAGGGTGAGCTTCCTTTTGTTCAGCTATGTATCTTCAGTCCCTAGCCCAAAGTAATAACAGCCAATCTTTAGTGAGCTTTTGCCACATGCTAATCAATTTACATTCATTTACCTCATTATATCCTCACTCTTACAAGGTATTATCCCCATTTTAGAGAAGAAATAGGCTCCACAAGATTATTAATTCGGGATCAAATGTGAGAGACAAAAAAAAAAAAGCAAATTGTTAGAAAGAATAAAAGAGAAAGAAGAATTAAAGGTGATTGAATTTTCTAGTCTAAGTGATAGAACTGGGTGCCTTAGGAAAAAAGCAGTGAATTCAAAAGATAACAGGGAAAAGATGACTGGGTTTGATTTTAGATATTGACAGGGCATCTTGGTGGTAATCCTTAACAGCAAGCATGTATTGAGTGCTTGCTGTTTACAAGACACAATGCTAAACCTCTCCTAAGGAGCTTCTCACTGCATTTTTATTTATTTATTTGAAACAGAGTCTCACTCTGTCACTCAGGCTGGGGCATAGTGGCACCATCTTGGCTCACTGCAACCTCACTGAAGCCAGGTTCAAGCGCTTCTCATGCCTCAGCCTCCCAAGTAGCTGAGATTACAGGCATGCACCACAACAACTAGCTAATTTTTGCATAAAGACAGGGTTTTGCCATGTTGGCCAGGTTGGTTTCAAACTCCTGGCCTCAAGTCATCCACCCACCTCGGCCTCTCAAAGTGCTGGGATTCTAAGTGTGAGCCACCACGAACAGCATTTAGAATTAAAAAGTTATGGCCAGGCGCAGTGGCCCACGCCTGTAATCCTAGCACTCTGGGAGGCTGAGATGGGTGGATCATTTGAGGTCAGGGGTTCGATACCAGCCTGGCCAACATAGTGAAAACCCCAAGTGGCACACATAATCCCAGCTGCTCAGGAGGATGAAGCACAAGAATCACTTTAACCCGGGAGGCGGAGGTTGCGGTGAGCTGAGATTATGCCATTGCACACCAGTCTGGGCTGTGACCAAGCGAGATCTTGTCTCAAAAAATTTAATTAAGAAAGTTATAACCATGACCTCCCAACCCCTGCATGACTTAGCCCCTGCTTACCCCTTGGGCCACATCTCATGCCACCCTGTGTCTACCACATACCCCCTCTGTCTGGCACAGGGTCTGGCACGTAGGAAGCTACTGTTTATTGAATGAAATAAATGAACATACATTCTCATTTATTTTTCACAGCACCTTTTGAGGTAGGATATAATGTACCCAATTTATCAATGAAACATAAGAAATGCTGGAAAGAGCTTGAGGTTGGAGAAGGCTGATTTTCTAGTCTGTACAGAGCCAAAACTGAAGTATGTTTGTATGGGGGAGTCCCAGGACACCTCTATAATAGTTAATTTTATGTGTCAACTTGGCTGGGCTATGGGATGCTCGGGTATTTGGCTAAACATTTTTGGGTGCATCTATGAAGGTGTTTCTGGATGAGATCAGTAGTTAAATCAGTAGACTGAGTGAAGAAGACTGCCCTCCTCAATGTGGATGGGACTCATGCAATCCGTTAAAGGCCTAAATAGAGTAAAAGGCTAAGAAAGCATTTCTCACTGCCTGACTGTCTTGGAGTCGAGACATCAGTCTTCTCCTGACTTTGGACTCAGACTCAGAATGGAACTTACACAAATGGTTCTCCTGGTTCTCAGGCCCTCTGACTCAGACTAAAACTTACACCATCAGCACTTCTGGTTTTCAGGCCTCTGAACTCAACTGGAACTACACCATCAACTCTCTTGAGTGTCCTGCTTGCTGATCAGGTTTGATAATTCACTCGGGTGACTTACCAGGACTAAGCATTTAGTTGTTGTACTCACGTGGTTTATTAAAGTGAACGGGTGAAAGGATACAAAGCTGACTCAACAAAGGCAAAAGGAGGATGGGGTAAAGTCCAGAAGAAACCAGGCAGAAGCTCGCAAGAATTCTTCTATCAGTGAAGTTACACAGGATGCAGTTAATTCCTCCAGCAATGAGTTATGACAACATGTGTGAAACGTTGCCAACTCAGGAAGCTCAGTAGAGACTCAGTGCCCAAGGGGGCTGGTCACCTAAGTACTCTCTGCCTAGCACATATCAAAATTCCAGGCTCCTGAAAAGAAAGCAAATGTTCAGCATAAAAATTGTATTGTTGGCCGGGCAGTGGCTCACGCCTGTAATCCGAGCACTTTGGAAGGCCAAGGCAGGCAGATCACAAGGTCAGGAATTCAAGACCAGCCAGGCCAACATGGTGAAACCCTGTCTCTACTAAAAATATAAAAATTAGCCGGGTGTGGTGGTGCACGCCTGTAATCCTAGCTACTTGAGAAGCTGAAGTAGAATTGCTTGAACCCAGGAGGTGGAAGTTGCAGTGAGCTGAGAAGCGCCACTGCACTCTAGCCTGGGTGATAGAGTGAGACTCCATCTCAAAAGAAAAAAAATTGTATTGTTTACACAGTTTAGACACAATGATTCACTATTATCATTTAGGGAATGGTAGTAACCCTCCTAAAATCTAAGTTCACACAGTTGTCAGCCAGAGGCCAACCATGTAAGCAGACCTCTTTTTTTTTTTTTTTTGAGACGGAGTCTCACTCTGTCACCCAGGCTGGAATGTGGTGGTGCGATCTCAGGTCACTGCAACCTCCGCCTCCCGGGTTCAAGCAGTTCTGCTTTAGCCTCCTGAGTAGCTAGGATTACAGGCATGTGCGCCCAGGCCCGGTTAATCTCTGCCTACTGAATTCAAGTAATTCTCTTGTCTCAGCCACTCGAGTAGCTGGGACTACAGACATGCGCCACCATGCCCAGCTAATTTTTTTGTCTTTTTAGTAGAGACAGGGTTTCACCATGCTAGCCAGGCTGCTCATGAACTCCTGACCTAGTCATTCACCTGCCTCGGTCTCCCAAAGTGCTGGGATTACAGGAGTGAGCACCTGGCCACAGGCCTTTCAATGAATAGGAATCTCAGGCCAGCAATGTTAACTCTTTTCTGCACAAGGATTGAAGGAGGGCAAGGAGAGATACAACTAAAAATAAAATATCTTAATTCTAGTTGGTAATGCTTATTAAAGTCTAAATCCATGAGTGTTAAAAATTATTCATCGGCTGGCTATCTTTGACAGTAGAATGAGGGTAATAGGGGTGACTGCAAAATCATACTGCATTCTTGCTGATTAGCTTTAGAGCCAAGAGTTAAAAGGTTAGAAGCTGAAGGAATTGTTTATGTTTAAAGACCCTATAAGCTTTATTAAGTCAATTGGGTACAGACGCCAAAATGTTAACTTATATCCCAAAGGTGGCTTAAGAATTCTTTGTTCTTGCTATTAGGCCCCATCTGACAAACAAAAATTATTTTTCATTAATCAAGTACCAATAGTAGTTCCAATGTACAGTCATCTTACACTACATGTTGTTAATCATCACAACAATCTTGCAAAATATTAGCTACATTTTAGAGTTTTAGAAACAGACTCGGCTGGGTACCGTGGTTCACATCTGTAATCCCAGTACTTTGGGAGGCTGAGGTGAGCGGATCACCTGAGGTCAAGGGTTCGAGACCAGCCCGGCCAACATGGTGAAACTCTGTCTTTACTAAAAATACAAAAATTAGGTGGGTCTGGTGGTGGGCACCTGTAATCCCAGCTACTCGGGAGGCTGAGACAGGAGAATCACTTGAACAGGAGACAAAGGTTGCAGTGAGCCGAGATCACACTCCAGCCTGGGGAACAAAGAGCAAAACACCATCTCAAAAAAAAAGAGAGACAGAGAGAAACAGACTCAAAGAGAGTAACTTGCCCAGAGTCCATGGTCTGAAAAAATGGTAAAATTGAGATTATCACCAAGCATGCATTTCTGTTAATGTGCCTCTGTGAAACATGTTTGAAGGAGTTCGTCTCTGATTAGTTTGTTACCCTCCTGGCCTCTATGAATGACTTCCTGTTCTGTTGCATTTCAAATCTGACTCCAGGGATTAGCATCAGAGTTCTCTATCAACAGAAAGCCTACTGTAAGACAAAGATGAATATGAATATACATATATACACATATATATTCCTAATCATATATTATGTATATATATTCTTATATGTGTACATATTCCTATATGTGTGTATATATATATATTCCTGTGTGTGTGAGAAAAATATATATAAAGCCTAGCCTCATTTCATCCTGTTATTAGAATTATAGACAGCTGGCCTATTACTGTGGTTTATGCCTGTAATCCCAACACTTTGGGAAGTTGAGATGGGATTGCTTGAGCCCAGGAGATCATGAACAGCCTGGGCAACAGATAAAACCCCTATCTCTACACACAAAAAAATTTTTTTAATTAGCTGAGCATGGTGATACATGCCTGTAGTCCCAGCTACTCAGGAGGCTGAGGTAGAAGGCTTGCTTGAGCTGAGGAGGTCAAGGCTGCAGTGAGCCATGATTATGCCACTGCACTCCAGCCTGGGCAACAGAGCAATATCCTGTCTCAAAAAAATTATAGATAGCCCTGCTTTAAAAGAGCAGCAAGCATGTCACCAAAAAAAAAAAAAAAAAAAAAAAGAAAGAAAAAAAGAAAAACCATCTTAAGTTGCTTACTAAAAAATGTTTTCAGGCTGGGTGCGATGACTCAATGTCTGCAATCCTAGCACTTTAGAAGGCCAAGGCAGGCGGATTGACTGAGCTCAGAAGTTTGAGACCAGCCTGGGCAACACGGTGAAAACCCTTCTCTACTAAAATACAAAAATTAGCCGGGGCTGGTGGCATGTACCTGTAGTCTTAGCTACTCAGGAGACTAAGGCAAAAGTATCACTTGAACTGGGGAGGCAAGAGGTTGCAGTGAGCCAAGATTTTGCCACTACACTCCAGCCTGGGCAACAGAGCGAGACTCCATTTAAAAAAAAAAAAGTTTTCTAGAGTGTATTTGTAATTACAAACAGTTCTCTGAAAAGCATTCACCTTCTCTCTTTGGGTTTTCTCCTTCTGATGAATGTTTATTTGATCCCTGGCACCAGCATCATGATCTTTACATGGTTACACTTACAGGGCACCCTCCCAAACCACTAAGCTGTCCTGCAAGCTCGTTAATCAAAAAGTATTATAGAGTTGATCTTAAGACTCTGAGAAACCTCTTGCTTTTTAAAAAGGAACACACATAAACATGTGCAGATTTTCCAGATAAAACAAAGACACACCCTTCCCCCAAAATACACTCTGGTTTAAAATCTGGAAGATTGGTGTGGGAGATGAAAGGAAATTTTCCATTGACTTGTTTTATGTGGAGGGTAGAGGGACGAAATGGGAAGAAAAAGCTGAATTATCACAGTAACTTTCTAGGAGTCTCAGCCTTAACATTTCCAAAATGTAACCAAAAAAAATTCCATTAAAATTACAAGCAAACATCTTTTGCAGGAAGCTGTTAATCAGGTGTAAAAATGCTATTAAAATTGGGTCTGAAACCCCAAATTAGTAACCAGAATCTTTAGTCAATATACAAAAGGCCACGTGAATGGGCTGAGCTTACTGAAAATTGCTGTTTGTGGCCCAGAAAATGCCTCTCTCCTCACCCACCCAGTTTTGTATTTTTCTATAAAATAAGCATGTCATGAGAAGTTCCCTGAGGAACTTTGAAGATACGTGTACAGGAGTTCTGGAGCCCCATCCCCCTGCCCTGAGCATAGTCACCAAAAGGACTTTCCACTTAGTTTACTCCCTCCTTCCTTTTGAGCCTGCGGTGAAAAAAAATCTACCTCTGAGTGACTGTGGGTAGAGGGAGGGCCTGCGATGACATCAAATCACAGTCTTTCCTCCTCCTCTCAGGAAGTAAAGTCCACTGGCCGGAGGGCCTAAATCGCCTCAGCCCTCCTTGGCTCTTACAGCACTTTTCACAGTGCAGCAAAACGAAATGCCTTAGAAAAACAGTAACATTCCAGAAAATGGTATAATTTATTTTTCTTTCTGAATTGCCTGATCTGTGGAGGATTTCTTCGCTGAACACATCAAAGGTAAGATGGGAATAGGATTGTGTGCTGGGTTGATTTTCTACGATGTCTTCAATGACTGGCATCTCTCCCCACCCAGCCTGCTCACCAGATGGCCATTCCACACACGCTGCCAGCTGACTCTCCTTTCCAGTAAGAAACAATCGGCCTTTGACCTGACAGGGAAATAATGAATACTGTACCCCCTTCATCAGAACATTTACATTTTCTTTTTGCTATCACTCTTTATAAAAACATGTTTATTTTACTGAATGGATTGTGAGAAGGTAGCATCGCCATGTCACTCCTGAAAGCATGTATCTCCTAAGAATATTCTGTTGTGGAACCACAAGATCACCATCATATCCAAGAGGTAACCTTGGTACAGTATTCTCTATTGTACAGTCCATATTCAAGTTCCCCAACTGTCCCCTCTGTCTTTTTTTTTTTTTTGAGACGGAGTTTCGCTCTTGTTACCCAGGCTGGAGTGCAATGGCGCGATCTCGGCTCACCGCAATCTCCGCCTCCTGGGTTCAGGCAATTCTCCTGCCTCAGCCCCACGAGCATCTGGGATTACAGGCACGCACCACCGTGCCCAGCTAATTTTTTTGTAATTTTAGTAGAGACGGGGTTTCACCATGTTGACCAAGATGGTCTCGATCTGTTGACCTCGTGGTTCACCCGCCTCGGCCTCCCAAAGTGCTGGGATTACAGGCTTAAGCCACCGCGCCCGGCCCCCTCTGTCTTTTACAACATTTTTTCTGATCTAGGATGTATTCAATGAATGGGTATCGCATTTTGTTGTCATGTCTGTTTAGCTCCAAAAATATTTATATTTAGCCAAGTGTTTTCTAAGGAGGATTGCTAAACTCAAGGCTCTCCCATTCCTTCTATTTCCCTGAAGTCCACAGTTCACCCAGAGGACCAGCAGGGTGATGCACAGCTCTCCAAGAAACTGGCTTGCAGACCTGGGTGATGGACACTGAATCCAGTTCTAGGAGTGGCCACCCATCACTGAGGTCAGGCTCTCTAGTTAACTGACTCCTTAGTTGCATCAGGCAGACTTCATCTGTAACTGAGGGGTTTTTAAAAAATTACAAGTGGTTTTATACCATAGAGAAAAAGGTTTTTGTGTTTTGTTTTAAATTCCAACTTTTACTTTAGATTCAATATATAGGTTTATTACAAGGATAGATTATGTGATGCTGAGATTTGGAGTATAATTGAACCCATCACCCAGGTAGTGAGCATAGCACCTAATAGGTAGTTTTCAACCCTCCTCCCTCCCTCTCTCATCTAGTAGTCCCCAGCATCTGTGGTTCCCATCTTTACATCCATATGTACCCAATGTTTAGCTCCCACTTATAAGGAAGAATATGCAGTATTTGTTGTTTCTGCATCAATTTCCTCATGATAATGGTCTCCAGCTGCATCCATATTGCTGCAAAGGACATGATTTTGTTCTTTTTTTATGGCTGTATAGTATTCCACGGTGTCTGTGTATCACATTTTCTTTATCCAATCCACTGTTGATGGGCAACTAGGTTGGTTTCATGTCTTTGCTATTGTGAATAGTGCTGCAGTGAACATAAAAGTGCATGTGTATGTTTTGTAGAACAGTTTATCTTCTTTGGGTATATACCCAGGAATGGGATTACTGGGTCAAATGGTAGTTTCATTTTTAGTTTTTCAGAAATCTCCAAACCGGTTTGCACAGTGGCTGAACTAATTTACATTCCCACCAACAATGTATAAATGTTCCCTTTCAGATAAAAAGTTTAAAAGTTTAGTTTCTTGTCCACTCAATCGTCTTGGATTTATCACAAGGATCTTCTGCATTTAAAATAGAAGAGGCATCATGCTGAAGAGGGAGGGAAAGGCCCGACCTTACACTAAAACCCTGGATGGAGGATGGGGATGGATGATTGTGTTTCATTTTTTCCTGGTAAGAATTTGCTTTTTTCCCCCTTTCCTACTCCTGAAAGCAGGCTTTCTGGAGAAAGGCTCAGAGCTGCCTACAAATAAGATCACTGAGGAAATCTCTGGCATTTGAGTCAGGGAGCGGGCAGGAGCTGCCCAAAACTGCTAAAGTCAGAGGCCCATGCCGAGCCCAGGGGAAAGCTGAACATGCCCCTGGAGTGAAAGCAGAAATGTTCCTGGGCTGGGCACAGTGGCTCATACCCATAATCCCACCACTCTGGGAGGCCTAGGTGGGTGGATCACTTGAGGTCAGGAGTTCGAGGCCAGCTGGCTAACATGGTGAAACCCTGTCTCTACAAAAATACAAAAATTAGCCAAGCACAGTGGCATGTATCTGTAGCCCCACCTACTCAGAGACTGAGGCAGGAGAATCGCTTGAACTCAGGAGGTGGAGACTGAAGTGAGCCAAGATCCTGTCACTGCATTGCAGCCTAGGCAACCATGAGAGACTCTCTCAAAACAAACAAACAGAAGTATTTCTGAATCCAGTCCTCTGTTCTTCCTGTTTACCACCTCCTAAACCTGAGAATGCTTAGTCACAATCATCAGCTCCATGCTGGCTGCATGACAATTAGGATTTGGGGATAATCATACTTTTAACCATGATAAAAGTAGCACTGGGAAGTGCTAAAAAGTGCTTTGGGGATGGTCTCCCCAGTTCAGCCCAGCATAGATATATGTAAAATTTTTGGTGCCACAAAAGAAGTGGCACTTGAATATAAATTTTCTCAGCAAGGCAATTTACTACTATAGAAGGGTGTGGCTCAGATGGAACAATGGTGAGCACACACCTGGAGAAGGGAGGGAAAAGGGTACTTATTCCTGATGGAGGTCGCCCCAATGCTCTGTCATTCCCCTATTGGCTAGAGTTAGACAGCATAATCTAGACTAATCCCAATTGGCTATTTTAAAGAGAGGAGGGGTACAAGCCCGAGTGGTGGGTGGGTAGTTTGCAGGAAGGATGATTATGGGCAGGTTGGTTACAGGCAGGTCAGAGCAGGTAACCAGGGGTGAGCTAGTTCAAAGGTGACCAGAGCAGGTGACTAAGGATGAGTCAGGATGGAGCAGGGGACCAGGGGAACAGATGTGAGCTACTGATTAGAACTGGTAAAACTGTTTACTGAAATTACAAGGAAGTTAAACTTTAAAATGGAGGACAAAGAACTGAATATACTGAAATACTGATTATTTGAAGAGAAACTTGAAGTTCACTGTGTCTAACAGATTTAACACTGCTGGCACGGCCCCTTCCATTGAAACAGGGTGGGGACCTTTCCTCTGTTTGGCCTGCTGTCTACTTCCCAATCCATCCCCATTAACTATAGTTTACCCTATCTGTATTTCTTTTTACACGGTCTGTATTTCTAATGTGTTTGGAAAGGGAGGAGGACATGGATTTTGAAAGGGGAGGCTGATTTTTCTCCTTCACCCATAAGCAACTAGACTAGTAATTCCAGTTTTTAAATTAACTTCTTTCCCTCATCTTCCCAGGGGTTGAGGTGTGACAGTGGTGACCTGCATCATCAGCATGACCATTCTAGAATGTCAGTGAATCCCATCCCAGCTATGCCCCACACAGGTCTCCAGAGAGTGGCGCCAGCTGCACAATTCGTTTCCAAAGTTCTATTAACTTTGGAATGCACTCACAAAAACATCCTTTTCTTGCTGACACTTCTCCCCTACGCAGCCCCACTGTAAGCAGCTCACAGGGAAGTATAGCACAGGTCCTGGTGCCTTCTAATAATCCCATAGTTCACATGCAGATAACTAAGAACTCTAAAAATAGATGGTGGGAAAACATCAGGCCTCCTCCCTAGTGATAGAGAAGCAGCATGTAGCGGCAGAGGTCCCCAGCCAGGATTCATGTAATACAAAACTCTGAACACTTAACAGTAGTACTTGCTAAGCATTAGCTTCAGTACTAAAGAATGTGGAACCCCATTTTTTTCCCCAGAAATGTTACTAATAAGGAAACTAAAGGATGCCCTAAGTCTGAGAGTCCTTCCTGTGGCTGGGCCACCTCCCCACATCATAGGCTTTGCAAAATGAGCACTGTTGGTGAGAATCTCTAATTCTTTTGCCTTTCTCCCCGGTAACCACCTTGACTTTTTCTACATCATCCTTTGAGAATAGAATGGTTTCTGACCAATTTAGTTGCTGGTAAGGAAAACCATCTAATAACCAGATTAATAAACACTGTCCCACTTTTAGGGTGTGATACTGCTTACTAAGCACGAAAAATGCACTGGATCCTCAAAATGTTAACAAATTCAGGGGCTAATCCCCCACAGTTGTAATGCAGATATTTGAATGACTGTGCTTTTGTTTCTGTATGAGTTATAAATGTTCTTTTCTATAACAGATTAGGTCCTGGTAAATGAAAATAACAATGTTCTGTGGGAGCTTCCTATTAAAAAAAAAAGAGAGAGAGATTCATTCTAACCAATTCATCACACTTTATATATGTATGACTGTTTTCTGTATTCAGTCTGTCTTACTAGACTGAATGTTCCGTGGGGGCAGCAGGGTCCATGTCTACATTGCTCATGAGTGTATGCTCATTACTGTAAGCCCAGCACCAATATAAAGCCTGGACCACAGTAGGCACTCAGTAAATACTGTTGGTGGGTGGATAGATGGATCGATTGATAGCTGCATACATTTATGAATAAACAAATAAAGATGAAAGGAATAGGTGATGAAATTGAAGAGATGAGAATAGCTTTTGTCTTGAGGCTATGAGAAGCTAATGAGAAAAATTAAGCAGGGATGTGACAGATTTGCATTTCAGAAAAATGTGATGAGCAGATGCTACTGAGAGGTCAAACAGCATAGAAATAATGAGTCTACTGTTTTACCAACAAAGAAGTCCTGATAACCTTGATAAGAGCTGGTACAGTGGAGCAGTGGGGGCTGAAGGTAGTGAACTTTATTTTGTTTTCAGTGTAGTAGTGGAATGACAGAAAGTGGAGATACCTAATAGAATTTTTTTTTTTTTTTTTTTACAGAAGCTTGTCTGTGAAGGTCAGAAGGAGCTAGGGTGATACTAGAAAGGGACTCAGGATAAGTTGTTATCAGATAAAACTCACTCTGACAAAGCCTGGCGCCTATATTCAAAATAAGTCACTGAGGCTGATCCAACTCCTTTCCCAAGACGATAATCAAAATGATCTAGTGAGGAAGCTCTTATTGGAGGTGGGGTGTGGGGAAAGCCTGCTTAAGGTGTTCCTGACAGGTTCAACCCAATTAACTGCTCTTACACACAAAAAGAAAATGAGGGGACTGGAGAAGTTCTACAGTTTTTGCTTTATTGTAGGGTGAGCTATTTACAATGTATAATGTGGACTCTGGCGACAGAATTAAAATCCACCAAGCTTCGTCTAAGACATGAGATTATGGAGGATAATGCAGATGTAATCTGCTAAATTAATGAAGGAAAAACCTAGACCTTGGGAGAGATTTTTTTAATACCTTTGAGTAAAAACAGAAACAAAAATGGAAGACTTCAAGTTAAGGGGTGGGAAGCATGGTAGGTGCCAAGGCTCTGCCCTTGGTCTTCTTGATACACAGTTATTCCAGACAAGTCCTAACCATTCACTGCTGCTACACCCAGACATCAAGGACAGACCAGAGAGGAAGAGTTCTGAACTGGGGAACCAGTAGCTAGCTAAATTTAGGTAGCTAAGAATATAGAGCAACATCTTCGAGACAGCAGCACAGAACTCATGTCCACAGAACAAAAGGAAGATTATTTTACATAATGACACATTTTAGTGTTCCTTGCTCATGAGAGGACACAACCACGTTATTCTGAACTGAGAGAAGAAAGTCTAGGTAATGTGAAATCTGTGTATATTTTCTAGCCTGACAGAAGTGCCTTAGAGGAAAATTATGGTTATAAATTGCCTAAATGGGGGCCTGATAAAATGTCTTTTTCACTTTTGAATATACAGTCCTGTTGTTTATAGCACTTTTCATTCTAAGTAAGTTTTGTTCCTTTTATCAAATCAGAATGGGACAAATATATTAAGAGACTTCTTCCTCACCACTCCCACTTTTGCAATTTCTGAGCATCGCCAATAGTGATGTGGATGAAAAGGGGCAGGTCTTGACGATTATGAAAAAGCAGGGGCTGAGAGAGGGAGGCATCTAAGAGCAAGCACATCTCTCACTCAGGTGAATGGGTGGATGATACCAATAGAAAAAAACTGAAAAGAGTAGGCATCAGGGAAATGTGAGCTTATGTTTGGGCAAGTTAACCAGATGTTATAAAGATATGGTAGACAATTAGGAGTCTGAAGCTCTCAGGAAAGCAGAATGGAAACCATAGTTCACTGTTCATACATTAAGTGCCAAATATTAAGTACTTTATCAGAACTTTCTCAATTAATCTTCACAGTCTTATGAGCTAAGTAATATTTACATTCTCCCCACATCATAAAAGAGGAAGCTTAACACATGTGAAGTGCAAAGTAGTTTGCCCAGTCATGCCCCAGTAGGATGCAGTCTGGCTGCAAGTTAAGGCAGACTGATTACAGAACCCTATTCAGCTACACCACCTTAAGTATGCCCACTATGCCACTGTGCCATATACTACTATGCCCCGGGTGGTAATTAAAACCTTGGGAATGAATGTCCAGGGAGCAGGTATTAAGCTAGATGAGTACAGAACCGTAACAGGTGAGCAGAGAAAGTGGAATTAATGAAAGGGAACCTAAGGCTTTGAGGTTCTTTTATTATTATTACTAATTTTGAGACAAGGTCTCGCTGTCACCCAGGCTGGAGCGCAGCATTGTGATCACAGCTCACTATACCCTCCACCTCCCAGGTTCAGGCGATCCTCCCACCTCACCCTTCCAGGTGGCTGGGACTACAGGCGTTATACCACTATGCCCAGCTAATTTTTTGTACTTTTTGTAGATGGCTTTTGCCATGTTGCCCAGGCTGGTCTTGCACTCCTAGGCTCAAGTGATCCACCCACCTTGGCCTCCCAAAGTACTAGGATTATAGGCAGGAGCCACCATGCCCAGCTGGTTTTGTGGTTCATAAGCAATGCACGGCCCGGTTGAAAGCAGAAGTGGCCTTGAAAAGCCAACGCTATTGAAACAAGGAGAAAAAGGGGGAAGCCCCGAAGCCCCTGGAGACAGTGAGTACACAATGGCTCCTGGGGTTTGAGAGTGAATGCAATCATTAACAAATTAGCCATAAGATTAGAAATTATGGTTTAGGAGCCCTACAGCTGGAAGCTACAAGACTGACTCTCCCCAAATTGCTCCTGGGGATAACATCACTGTTGTAAAACCTAAGATCAGTGCTTGAGATAATTTGCAGACCTTGCACTTGATGGATCAGCTGGCACCACCAAGATTAATAAACTGGCTCAACTGGTCGTGGGGGCCTCCCCACCCAGAAAGTGACTCAGGGCAAGAGGGCAGCTTTTATAGAATTTCATTTCTGACCCAACCAATCAGCACTCCCAACTCACTGCCCCCTACCCTCACCAAACTATCCTTAAAAACTCTGATCCCCAAAAGCTTGGAGAAACCGATTGACATAATAAATTCCAGTCTCCTGCACAGTGGTCTCTGTGTGAATAACTCTTTCTCTACTGCAATTCCTATCTTGATAAATCAGCTCTACCTAGGCAGCAGGCAAGGTGAACCCATCAAGCAATTTATTTGGTATAAATTATTTGGTATACAACATTGGCATGCCTATTCCAAAGCTGTGAAATGAGGATTAAATGAGATGTTTCCATTTAAAATGCTTAGCTACTTTAAAAGGAGTGACTTCCTTTATAAAATATAGGATGTATAATGAGGATCAACCAATAATGCAAAATGATAAATAGTGAGCTGAGGGAATCAGGCCTTCTAGTAGCTGTAATTGCCTCTATAATGACTCACTTGCCACCTGAGTTGGACTCTGGTCTACTTTGATTTAGGTGAATGTGTTTGTGATGGGGATGACCAAGACATTTGCAATTTTCTTTGTGATCTTTCAAGAAGAGTTTGAAGCCACCTCAGAACGAACTGGTTGGATTGGATCCATCATGTCATCTCTTCGTTTTTCTGCAGGTATAAGGCTAGCAATAAACTTGCTGTCCAACGAGAAGAACCACAAAGGGCAATTCCAAGATTCCTATTCAAGACTGGAGGGTTGCTAAAATTCAGGTTCATTTACTGATATGTAATGCTGAGAAAGTAAGGAACTGCAATATTTAGCTTCCACTTGACTTAGTAACAAAGTTGGGAGAATCAGCATTCAAACAAAGCAAGCTGAAGAATTATTAAACGCCATGACTCAGAATTTCATGCATTGCCTTTCCAGTCTGGTGATGCCTTAATAAAGGTTCAGTGAATAAGGCCCTCAACCTGGAAGTTAGGCCATGAAGTTCTAGTTATCTAAGTATACTCAATTTTTTTTTTTTTAATTTGAGACAGAGTCTTACTCTGTTGCCCAACTGGAGTACAGTGGCGTTATCTCGGCTCACTGCAACTTCCACCTCCCAGGTTCAAGCAATTCTTCTGCCTCAGCCTACCGAGTAGCTGGGATTACAGGCACCCGCCACCATGCCTGGCTAACTTTTGTGTTTTTAGTAGAGATGGAGTTTCACCATGTTGGACAGGCTGGTCTCAAACTCCTGATCTCAGCTGATCCACTCACCTTTGGTCTCCCAAAGTGCTGGGATTACAGGCATGAGCCACGGTGCCCCAAAACAAATTATCAAACCATTTCCTCTTCCTTTATTTGGAATGGTAACAAGGTGGAGGAGCGGTTAAGTGATTCAACCTTATTCTAGCCACTGACCACCAGATGCAATCTTTTTGGGGAGGTTCTATAATGCATTTCAGAACACTTCTCCAAACCTTATTTACAATCAATATTTTCTTTTAAACTCCCCTTCCAAAAACCAAAATAGTGTGGGACTAATGATATTAAGAAACCCAATATGAAAACCTTTTTTGAAGTATACATAATACATCAAAGTAAACAGTCCTCTTGCTTTCCTTGTCATTTGTTTAAGTCATGCATCAGACGGTAAGCCATGCCAGATTGTATTTACCTGGTAATTGCCTTTGCTTCTTCTCTTAAGGTCCCCTGGTTGCTATGATTTGTGACATACTTGGAGAGAAAACTACCTCCATTCTTGGGGCTCTCCTTGTTACTGGTGGATATCTGGTCAGCAGCTGCGCCACAAGTATTCCTTTTCTTTGTGTGACTATGGGACTTCTACCTGGTGAGTCAATTGCAAATATATGACCATAGAAGGCTGGGTGTGGTGACTCACACTTGTAATCCTAGCACTTTGGGAGGCCAAAGTGGGTGGACGACTTGAGTCTATAAGTTCAGCCTTAGCAACATGGTGAAACTCTGTCTCTACTAAAATTAGCCAGGCCAGTGGTGGACGTGCCTGTAGTTAACAGCTATTTGGGAGGAATGCTTGAGCCCAGGAAGTCAAGGCTATAGAGAGCCAAGATTACACCACTACACTCCAGTCTGGGTGACAAAATGAAATCCTGCCTCAAAATATGTGTGTGTGTGTGTGTGTATGCATCTGTACATTTACATATATATCTACCCATAGACCCTTCCCTTCTACTGTTCCTGGGTCCAAAAGGCCTAGTGGTATTATCTTGGATTCAGATTATCTTTTCTGGTACCAAGCCACTTAATGTGAGAGTAATTCTAAACTATCATGTTTTTCTTTTAGGTTTGGGTTCTGCTTTCTTATACCAAGTAGCTTCTGTGGTAATTACCAAATACTTCAAAAAACAATTGGCTCTTTCTACGGCTATTGCCCGTTCTGGGATGGGTCTGACATTTCTGTTGGCACCCTTTACAAAATTCCTGATAGATCTGTATGACTGGACAGGTAAGTCATTCTAAGTTTCTTTACTGTCAACTGTGCAAGGTTTAATGCTCAGGTTTCTTTCTCCCTTTGAGAACTGGAAATTAAGATTGTAGAGCAATTGCTTTCACAAGGTATCGCCAGAGAGGAAATGAGCATAATTTCTAAAGTAAACATGCTTCTCTTTCCTGGAGAATATATAAACAGAAGAGATCTTGAATCTGGCTTTGCCAGCTCACACAAGCAACTCAGAATTCACCATAGGGCACAATGTCTGAGGAGATGGAGAGCATTCTGTGCAGCTGGAAACAGCTTGTAGTGAAAGCGATACTTCTGGGGAAACAAGGCTTCCCCTTTCCCCACCAAAACACTCAACTTTTCACATTTTCCCTTTAAGACAAAAATCTGCATTTAAAAAACGCCTCCTCCATCGGACTCACTGAAACAGATGAAAAAGAAACAAATGCTTTGGTAAAAAGAATATGTTCCTTAGTAATATTTTACATAATGTCAACTATAAATTTTCACAAATGAATAAAAAATTATTCATATCACAGTTTTCTAAGACATTTGGATTAAAATCTTAAACTACTAGAAAAAATATATGTACATGTGTATATTCATATGCCTATTGTTATCTACATGGCAGTTTTGTTGGATCTTTCCTATATAAAAAGCCATTCAGGGGCCAGGCATGGTGGCTCACACCTGTAATCCCAGCACTTTGCGAGGCCAAGGCAGGCAGATCACTTGAGGTCAGGAGTTGGAGACCAGCCTGAACAACATGATAAAACCCTGTCTCTACTAAAAATACAAAAATGAGCCGGGCATGGTGGCCAGCACCTGTAATCCCAGCCACTTAGGAGGCTGAGGCAGGAGACTGACTTGAACCTGGGAGGCAGAGGTTGCAGTGAGCCGAGATCACACCACTGTACTCCAGCCTGGGCAACAGAGCAAGACTCCATTTCAAAACAAACAAATAAAAAAAACTATTCAGTAATCTCATAGTGAATGGAACCAGCTGACAAATCCATGATAGGATAGCAGAGCCTATAGCCCATTCTATCTTCAGAAGCACCATACAAGTCATAACTCTGATCAGAACATGTTGAATGCAAGCAACTATTTAGCTTCAAAGGCAAGATTAACATCTGTCATCTTTTAAGGAAGATCTAAAAAATGTCATGGAATGAAAGGCTATCCCCACCTCCTTTCCTCCCCCTCCCCTTTGTTTTGAGACAGGCTCTCATTCTGTCACCAAGGCTGGAGTGCTGTGCCTCAATCTTGGCTCACTGCAACCTCGACCCCCCAGGCTCAAACAATCCTCCCACCCCAGCCTCTCAAGTAACTGGGACTACAGGCACACCAGGCTAATTATTTTGTATTTTTTGGTAGAGATGGGCTTTTACCACTTTTCCCAGGGCTGGTCTTAAACTCCTGGGCTCAAGTGATCTGCCTGCCTCAGCCTCCCAAAGTGCTAGGACTACAGGCATGAGCCACTGCACCTGGCCAGCTGTACCCTCTTCTAAGGCTGTTTCCAAATGATTTCTATCATCTTATTCTATATTTTCTGTACCTAAATCTATACTCTCACTTCCGGATATTTAAATTTTCTCCCTCCAAAAACTTGCCCCCAACTTTCACAAATCACCACCACCACCTCTTTTATCCCGTCTATTGGTACAGCTTTCCTCTTTTCTATCTCCAAATCACTACATGATTACACGGATACAGCAGTGTATATGACTAATACATCAAATCGGAGACAAAGTAATGTTTTCAAGAATTAATGGACTATGGGGCCTCTTCTGAGCCTATGAACACAAAGCAGTATTGTGAACTGAAAGGCTATTTTTAATTGCCCAATCTGCCCCTCTTTTTTAGGTGCCCTTATATTACTTGGAGGTATCACATTGAATTTGGTGCCTTCTAGTATGCTCTTAAGACCTGTCTGTATCAAAAGTGAGAACAATTCTGGTATTGAAGATAAAGGCAGCAGTCTGTCTGCACATGCTCCAGAGGCATGTGGAACAGAAACATACTGCGACGAGACACAAGAGTCTACCATCGAGGACAGTACTATGCAGAAGGCTGGACTACCTAGTGAATGTGTAATAGTCTCACAAAATCAAAATGAAGAGTTCTGCAATGGACCTAACAGGAACAGACTGTTATTAAAAAGTAATGAAGAAAGTGATAAGGAGGCTACTTGGTGGAGATGCAAACAAAAACTCTTTGATATTTCTGTCTTTAGAAATCCTTTCTTCTACATATTTACTTGGTCTTTTCTCCTCAGTCAGTTAGCATATTTCATCCCTACCTTTCACCTGGTAGCCAGAGCCAAAACACTGGGGATTGACATCATGGATGCCTCTTACCTTGTTTCTGTAGCAGGTAAGAAAGCCTATGTCAGCCTCCTACCCAAAAGGAAAGATCAACTTAATTTTACAGGTTTACATTTTAACAATGTAATATTGTATTATTGTTGTTACAAGGAAGTTGCTCTGGAGAAAGACTTCCTACTCTGCATTTCTTAACTGTGGGACCTTCAGCAAGTTACTTTTCTTCTCGGTGCCTTGATTTCCTCATCTGTAATATAGGGATCATAGTATCTACCCTCATAAGGTTGTCAAGATTAAAAAAGCAATGCACGTAGAGTTTAGAATAGTAGCTGGCCTATAGTAAGCATTCAATAATTATTTGCAGCTAAGGATTTTTCCCTTGAACTCACAGTAAAACAGATAAACACGATTTTTTTTTTTTTTTTGAGGCGGAGTTTGGCTCGTTACCCAGGCTGGAGTGCAATGACGTGATCTCGGCTCACCGCAACCTCCGCCTCGTGAGTAGCTGGGATTACAGGCGCGCACCACCATGCCCAGCTAATTTTTGTATTTTTAGTAGAGACGGGGTTTCACCATGCTGACCAAGATGGTCTCGATCTCTTGACCTCGTGATCCACCCGCCTCGGCCTCCCAAAGTGCTGGGATTACAGGCGTGAGCCACTGCGCCCGGCCTGATAAACACGACTTTTAAGGCTAGTCACTTATGGATTATCTGATATTTAAAATAAATTAAAATGTAAATTGAAAACTATTTTAGTTGACTATTCATAAAAATGTTTGGAGACAGACTGCTTGATCTAGAAAATAGGGTTTTGGCCAGGTACAGTTGTCCAAAATATGATCTCCCATGTCCAGACTTCCTATTTTCAAATTAAGCATAAACTTGGGAGAACTCAATTCCTAAAACTTTGTATGCAATTATGAGTCCCACCATCTACTTTTTATACTCCAACCTTCTACAACATGACTGCCTCAAGACACTGACCTGAAGGTTTATTTGTCTTTTAGAAACCTCATTTTCTCACTTGCAGGACTCTTGGACAAAGGGACTGCATAGCCTTCTGTGCCCAGGGTCCTCTGTAACCAGGAATTCCCAGTGTAGTGTTGTAATCAGAAAAAACACCAACTATGTGGGTCTTCTACACAACTCTAGAGGAGACTACTTTTTTGTTAAATGTGTTTGGAATAGATAAGTAATAGAGTTTACTGGTACACAATGAAATCATTTTTTCCCCACATATCCTGGCTTCGGAATGAGGTCATATTACTTGGGAAATGATGCCTTGAGAATTCATATTTTTCAAAGGGGCTAGGAAAATAAAAGGATTTCAATGTCATTCCAGGTATCCTTGAGGCGATCAGTCAGATTATTTCTGGATGGGTTGCTGATCAAAATTGGATTAAGAAGTATCATTACCACAAGTCTTACCTCATCCTCTGCGGCATCACTAACCTGCTTGCTCCTTCAGCCACCACATTTCCACTACTCATGACCTACACCATCTGCTTTGCCATCTTTGCTGGTGGTTACCTGGCATTGATACTACCTGTACTGGTGAGTAGACATACTCATTAACATTGTTAAACCATTTAATAGAAGCAAATATCAGTAACAACCTCCCCAAAATACATATTTTGTATTAATTTCGTAACTTAAAAAAATCATATCAAAGACCTTAGAAACTCTGCAGCTATATCCTGTCCAGTTATCCATCTTACCTTGTGTGTGACGGGGAGGGATGGTAGGAGGACTATTCACATGGGACAGGAATAAAATTAAACCAAAAAAAGGGATCAACAGGATTCCTTTTTACTTATCAGTCTCCTAGATTAGTGTTCACTTCACTCCTTCAACTCCAGAGACTTTTTTGGCTCCTTTTAAGACACAATCTTAAAGAGATCCCTGAGAACACTTCAAGAAGAAAAGGGATTTCCTGACCAGTGTGGCTTCCCTCTTGAAGTTACTGCCTTGGTCCTGTGTACTTTCACAGGGCCATTGTTTCATACTTCCTCTTCATTTTTACCTCAAACTAACTCAAAGTCCTGAACCCAGATGGAACCAAAATACTTACACAAATACTTCTGTGTTCTGGGAATTCCTTGGAATCTCATAGGTTCTCCTTAGAACCAGGTCCTCAACACGCTGGAACAGACTTCCTAGGAAAATTCTGTTCTATCAATATTAGCATAAGTGCTACAGGAAAGTAGCACTCATACCAAGTGTAGGCAAAAATCAAGCTTCCTAATGTTGAAATTAATTCCTTGTGATATCTGATTACTTACAAACCAATGGTTGATACTAGACCTTAGGGAATTCAAGAATATCACCATCTGGCTGGGCACAGTGGCTCACACCCAGCACTTTGAGAGGGACTAATCCCAGCACTTTGGAAGGCAGAGGCAGGAGAACTGCTTGAGCTCAGGAGTTGGACACCAGCCTGGGCAACATGGTGAAACCCCTTCTCTACAAAAAATAAAAAAATTAGCCAGGTGGCACGCACCTGTGGTCCCAGCTACTTGCAAGGGTGAGGTGAGAGGATTGCTTGAGCCTGGGAGGCAGAGGTTGCAGTGAGCCAAGATCACACCACTGCATTCTATTCTGGGTGCCAGAGTGAGACCCTGTCAAAAAAAAAGAATATCACTATCAATTCGTATTGTAAGTACCATTTCCTAATAGAGAAAAGCAGCAAGGTTTGGGGAAGAAAAAGTACCCATGAACCACTTAAAAAATTAAAATGAAAATAAAAACTCATGTTCTTACTAATAAACTGAAAACACTGCTTGCTTAGCAGTTACTGTTCACTATCAGCCCTCAGCAGTTTCACAATATTGGCGGCAAAAGGCCATCTAACTTACCCCAGAAGTCACACTGTTCATAGCCTGAGATGACCTAAATAGTATCTGTCCCTTTTAGGCATAGATCTCTGTAGAATTTCACCCTTAATATAGCTAACGCTGAATTCTGATTCCTACAGGTTGATCTCTGTTGGAATTCTACAGTACACAGGTTTTTGGGATTTGCTGGTTTCTTTGCTGGGATGGCTGTCCTTTCTGGACCACCTATAGCAGGTAACACCTTAACCACATTCTGAACAAATTTCAATAGCAATAAAAGGAAACACTGATCTAGGATTAATGGTAACATGTAATGACAATATCAGGTTAAAAGAAACAGATTAGTTCTGCTTTTCCTGTATCTACTCACTCCATCACCAGTGAAGGAAAATCTGAGGCTCAGATTCTTGTATTCTCTTAAGAGTGCCTTAAGCAGATTCTTACATTATCTTGGGATTTGTAGGGCAGATATTGGATGTATGTCTACTTGTGTAGGGGAGACAATCCAGAGTTTTGAGTCTCAAAGACCCATGATGTTTTTATTTAAAAAAAAAAAAAAAAAGGGCTGGGCACAATTGCTCACACCTATAATCCTAGTACTCTGGGAGGCCAAGGTGGGAGGATCACTTGAGCTGAGGATTTGAGACCAGCCTGGGCAACAGAGTGAGACCTTGTCTCTGTAAAGGAAAGAAAAAAAACAAAAACCAAAAAACGAACCACTAGCATCTTGTATCTAAACATGAGTCACTTTTACAGAGCTTGAAAGGTATAGGCCTGACACTTTCTTCTGATTTGCCATATGGATATCCAGGATCGCTTGTTATCTGTTCTTTTCAAAGAGACATAACTTTCTCTTTCAAAGAGAGATAACAAAGAGGCTCTCTCATTGAGAGGCCCTTCAAATTGTAGGTACCAAGGATGGGAGGCCAGAATCTCTATGGAGAGGATATTGGGGGCCACTGGAAATTAGTATATACAAATACAGTAAACATTTGGGGAGTTCTGATATGTAAGTTAACTTTAAGATGCAAATTGTAGTTTTACATTCACGTTTTACCTAACTGGACTTTCTGTGTTTGCTGAACATTTAATCTAATACTATTACGAACTTAACTACTCACACAGAAATATTTCTAGGGCACAGACCTAAACTAGTTTCTCTCACACCACAGGTTCTCAATATATTTGAATGCACAAATTACTATGACATTCCTAATCATCCACAAAAAGAAACTTAGCCTAAAACTTACTTTTGCTTCTTTCATTCCTGAAATAAGACAGAAGGGACTTGATCTTGTCCCACTATCATTTTTTAAAAATTAAGTTTCATAATGATGTTAAATTTATACTTCTTAAGACTCAGAAAGGGGCCAGGCGCAGTGGCTCACACCTGTAAGACCAGTACTTTCGGAGGCCGAGGCAGGTGGATCACCTGAGATCAGGAATTCGAGACCAGTCTGGCCAACATGGCAAAACCCTGTTTCTACTAAAATACAAAAATTAGCTGGGCATAGTGGCGGGCACCTGATCCCAGCTAACTCAGGAGGCTGAGGCAGGAGAATTGCTTAAACCCTGGGGACGGAGGTTGTAGTGAGCCGACTTTACTTCATGCCACTTTACTGCAGCCTGGGCAAGAGCGAGACTTCATCTCAAAAAAAAAAAAAGACTCAGAATAGGTACATATTAAAAGAAGGAGAATGTAAACTAAGGATAATAAGAATTATTACTGAGAAAGCCTGGTATGGTGGCTCACGCCTATAATCCCATCACTTAACTTAGGGAAGCAAGGTGGGAGGATTGTGTGAGTCCAGGAGTTCCAGACAAGCCTAGACAAGATAGTGAGGCACCATCTCTACAAAAAAATTTTAAAAGTTAGCCAGGTGTGATGGTGCATACCTGTAGTCCCAGCTACATGGGAGGCTGAGGCAGGAGGACTGCCTGAGCCCAGGAATGAGTGCAGTGAGCCTTGATCATGCCACTGTACTCCAGCCTGGACAGATAGGCAACACCCTGTCCCAAAAAACAAAAAAAGAAAGAGAAGAAAAAATTATTACTAGCAAGAAAATATATGCCACTATCTGAGGTTCAATTAAGGCATACGTATTCTAAAGTAAATTTATATAAATATGCAACAAACTCTCTTACTTGCATTTATGAACACACCCCTTCCCATGCTGTCTAACACCGAGCCTATGTTTCATACCTGGAATTTTAAAGTACCTCGCAGAACTACACTATGGCTAGTGCCCAGGTCAGTGAGATACAGAACATAGAGCTCAAACACAGTTTGCTGATGCATTTTTTCCATCTTGATCCTTCTTCACTGAATGTCCTGGTAGCACCTTGGAACTTTTCAAGCCTACTGGGCCAAAAGTACAAGGAAGTAACAAATACAAGGGCATAGAACATCTTACTCAAATGAAAACGACAAGCAATAAAACTATAACAATGTTTAAGTCCTACATGTCTTTGTATACTTCTTAAAATAAAATGTTTAAATAGTTCAATACACAAGAAGACAAGGCAAGTTTTCCGAAGACCATTATCTGAAAAGAAAAAGCTACAGGTATACATGTGTGTTTTGAAATAAATTTGTTGGGTCGTGATCTCATTGTTTTCATGAAAAAAGACAGACTACCACAGAACAGATTAAAAAAAACAGTATATCACTTTATTTTGAAACTTTTATTTCATATACACACACACACACCCCTATGTAATGTAAAATATGAGATATAAAATACTTCCATTGAAGAGACAAACAAAAAAGTTAACAAGCTTTTATTTTACCCCAAATCCAGTATATTCTAGCACCATATGTGAGGATGAAGAACTCATAATGAATTTGTTTTTTGAGACGGAGTTTCGCTCTTGTTACCCAGGCTGGAGTGCAATGGCGCGATCTCGGCTCACCGCAACCTCCAGATACAACCTCCTGGGTTCAGGCAATTCTCCTGCCTCAGCCTCCTGAGTAGCTGGGATTACAGGCACACGCCACCATGCCCAGCTAATTTTTTGTATTTTTAGTAGAGACGGGGTTTCACCATGTTGACCAGGATGGTCTCATCTCTTGATCTCGTGATCCACCTGCCTCGGCCTCCCAAAGTGCTGGGATTACAGGCGTGAGCCACCGCGCCCGGCCATAATGAATTTTTTTTACCCATTAATTCAGAGTATTACTTAGGCAGCCATACATACATCCTATGAGCTCTACAAAATATGAAAGGAAGTTATAAGGCTGTTGCTAAAGCTTATGTAGAAATTTTTAGTCCAGGAAGTGCTCTTAGTATCTTAAACAAGATTCTAACTGCAATGCTGTACCAATAACCATCTGTTGAAGAAAGAAATTTCAGGAAAGCTTTGTTCCTATAAGTCATTCCTCTGTGAAATGACAAAGAGGACATTACAAAGGCCATTAGATTTGTTCCTAACTTCTGACTCCAGCAGCACCTACCTAAGAAACATCAGAAATGTTGATGTACAGATCAGTTCAGTTCCTGCCTGTGTGGACAGAACTGAGTCTTTATCTTTAACTGAATCAAAAGGTTTACCGGTGATGAAACACTGAATCCTCAACCAAACTTAGATCTTCAGAACTGTATGAGATTCTCATATTTTACTTACCTAAATCTGTTATTACCAAATTGCAAAAGTTGAAACTCCTATAAAACAGTATAGGCATTTTTAATTAGGAATCTACAAAAGTAAAACTTTTCATAATAATCTTCAGTCAAAACATTAGTTAAAAATGGTAACATTTCAGCCATGTTCTTGTAGATTAAACAGACAAAAAAAGGTAACACACTACATGAACAATATTTCTCTCCTTCCTGTATGAAAATAAAGAAAACAATATTAGTTCTATGCAACGTATTTTAATAAATCAAGGAAAGCAAAAATAGCACAAGAAATTCAGACTTATATGCTTATTTTTAAAAAATAAAGAGAATATGGGCAAGAAAATTATACATCTTGATTTCTTATGTATCTTTCATGAATTTAAGAAATAATCGTTAACAACAAAATTCTTCATAAGATCTTTACTGAAACAGACAAATTGAAAGGATGATAGTTAAAACTTAGCTGCCCCAACACCTCCTCTGTAATGCAACGCCCTGCCCACCCACTCCACCCCAAAGTCCCTTCTTATTCCTCCTTTCCAATACTCAGTGACAATTTCAATTTTAGTTAAAATAATATGGCCTGCATTAGAGTAGGTGAGTTTTAGGATTGTTCTAGGTTCGCCGATCACGGCGGTTAGTAGACCTAAGTGTAGCCCAAATGTCACACAGCTCATCCAAACCCAACTGCTGCTTTTGCTGTTAGGGGTACGCAAAACTACACACTGGCACAAAGATGAAAGCCTTGGAAGGCTGTGGAAAAATGAGAAGTACTGATAGTTTAAGCCTTATTTCTCGCAGAGCCATTAACCAAAGTAAACCTGCAAAAATCAATATAAATATGAAAATAGTCCTTGGGCAGAAAAGCAAGTATATCTAACCACATTCTTCAAGATAAAGGCCAGATGTAAGCTATTTACATGAAATTCCTACTCTTGCATTCAAGGAATTTGACATGTAAGCTCAAAATGCTCAAGGCTCAATTTCATTTTAAAATAAAACCAAGGGACCATATTAGTTGCCTATGAAATAAAACTGAATGCAGTTCCCTGCTTCTCCATATTCTCCCCCTTCCCAACTGACAAATGCATACCCTATGCTAATATACATATATAATTGTAAAATCACAAATATCTTCTGGAAACTCCCTAAAAGTAACTATTTGATTACTTGGTGATCAAGTTACTACCAAATAAATATTTGGAACTTAGCATTCATTCAATAACTATCAAGCAAATGACTAGTGTAGTGTTCTGTTAAACACAGAAGATGAAAGTTACTCAAAGTCTTCACATGACTCACCAGGTGGCGATACAGTATCACTCTGCCACATATACTGCCAGGACTTCATACTAAGAACAACAGTCTAGAACCTCTACAACTTATTTTCTTACCTTTAATTGAAGACATTCTGAGCTGTGGGATAATAAAATGACTTTAAAATATGTTGAAGTTTAAGTCAACCAGGTATTTCACAAGTGTTTTTTCCCCCAAACAGCCCTAGAAAAACCCCAAATAGTTTTAAGTCAATTGTACTCCACCATATGTTAAAGTTAACTTAGCTCCTAAAGAAGTATGTCTCTCTCTCTTATTATTATTTGCCAATCTTGTATC